ATCGCTTAGTTTGTTCTTAAAGATAATTGATTTTGTTCCTTAAGATCGATTAGTTTGTTCTTAAAGATCTTTTAGTTTGTTCCTAAAGAACATTTAGTTTTCTGTTAAAGATCGCTTAGTTTATTCTTATAAATCATTTAGTTTCCTATTAAAAATCATTTGTTTTGATCTTAAAGATCATTTAGTTCGGTCTTAAAAATCGTTTAGTTTGTTATTAAAGATCGCTTAGATAGTTCTTAAAGATCGCTTAGTTTGTTTCAAATATCGTTTAGTTTGTTCATAAATGTCGTTTAGTTTGTTGTTAAATATCGCTGAGTATTAAATGACCGAAAACCGGAAGGCCGAAAGTCTAAGTCAATTTCGGCCGAAACCGAAGAAAAACCGAAAGTTAACTTTTCTCTTTCGGTCGAAACCGAAATGAAGCCGAAAGTTAATTTTTCAGTTTCGGCCGAAACCCAAACTTGCCCGAAAGTGATAAAATGGCCACTTTCGGCGCTGAAACCGAAGCCGAAGCCGAAATTCGGTCGGCCTCTAATATATATATATATTTATATATATATATATTAATGCCATGTAAGAAATACCTGTGAAAAGCACACGTCGAGGGTCCTTAAGAGTACAGTCTCTTCTTCTGGTAAAGTCCAAACAACTTCCAGACACTAAGCCAAAAGGGTGGTGCCCTACGAAGATGACTCCTTTAAATGGCAACAAATAAATATCAAAAGAATGAAAATTGTAAACATTAAAATATGACCATTCTGGAAAAAAGTCAATTTTTCTTTTAAAAAAGATCGCATATTAAATTTTACAGATTGTCTAGACAGTGACATGTATACTTAAATAAAGGTTTGTTGTATTCATTAAAGATATTTTTAGCCTCGTTTGTGTAGAAATGGTACAGATCAAACATGACTGGATATAGTGTTGTAATTGTGTAAAAAATATTCTTTGAGATCTGTTCAAACACACACACACACACAAACGCACACATACACATACACACAAACACACCCACTTCTGTATTCAAATATATAGTTACTAAAAACTAGTTGATGGTGTAGCTACAGTCTCAGACGACTACTCAGAAAGAACCACGAGACTATTGGCTGCTGAAACGCTCTGATGTCATGGCGGTAGAGAATAAAAGTTAAGTTGATCTATCCTGTTACAGAAGACGACAGTGCAGTTTTGTTCTATGTCACGGATTCAGAATTATTTGACGTACTTCACGAGGCTCATTCGGTCGTTGAGCATGGAGGACGGGACAGAATGTTGAAAGAACTTTCACACAAGTAAAACAACATTGGTCGTAAGGATATTGACCTGTACCTCCACCTTTGTGAGCCGTGCCAGAAGAAATAAAAAGGTGCCAAAAAGGGTGTTGGGATGTTGCCAATGGTGTTATTTTTCTGAATTCAACTCCCGTGGTCAGGTCGATCTTATTGATGTTCAGTCCCATTCTGACAGGGAATATAAACGTATAATGATGTACCAAGATCACCTCACAAATTTCGTGGTTCTGAGGGCCCTAACATCAAAAAGAGCGGAAGAATTACCCTACACACTAGTGGACATATTTACGTTGCTTGGAATTCCATAAATTCTACAGTCCGATAAGGACACCAATGTGGTGACAGACTAAAGGAGTACTGGCCCAAGTTGAAGATCGTCCATGGTAAACCTCGCCACTCACAAAGCCAGGGCAGTGTCGAAAGAGCTAATCAAGACATCGAAAACATGCTAAGCGTTTTGGATGCAAGATGAAAAAAAACGGACCACTGGACTGAGGGATTAGAATTTCTCCAATTTATGAAGACTATGGTCTTTCATTCTGGGATCAAGAGAACGCCTTATGAAGCTCTGTTTGGTTGCAAAGCTTAAGCGGGCCTTGCAACGTCTTCCATACCCTCTGACGTTTTGCAAAACATACAGACAAAGGAAGAACTCGAAAAAAGAAAATAGAAAGCGTAAAAACAAAGCGGGAAGAAGCAAGTCAGCAGATGCAAGATACAGAGCCCACTACACAGAATACTGAAGAGAATGCAACCAATAATGGAGGAAACCAAACTGATTGTGACGTCCTGGTTACCGAAGAGCCTTCCACTTTTGCTGTTTGTTGTGTCTGCTTAAAAGAAAGCAGCGGTGCCCATTCATGGCGAAACTGTCGCCGTATTGTTCATGTTATCTGTGGGCATGCTGATAAAGACGAGGAAATAGAAGGTTATGGTGTTGGTATTTTGTGTAGCTTGTATTTCAAGATGAAGAGAGCTGTAGAGGCTAGAAAAGATTCTAAATCGAACCTTGAAATGTAGGCCCAAAAAAAATAAAAAAATGAAAAAAAAAATGAAAATAAACTCTGACAAAAAATTCCCTCCTGCACCTTTAGGAGCCACTGTGCGATTTCCTAATCCTGACGTTGACAAAAGAGGGGTTGACTCGCCCATTCTTTTGGCAGTTTTTATGACAGTGACAGAAGACGGCTTTTACCGAAATGGAACTGAACTGAAGTTATCTTGAAACAACTGTTTCCGAGATCACAGTTCGCCGTGTGTCCAAAGGACTTACTGAGAGTTGAGAACGTCCCAT